TTATGACGTTTCTCAGGGTGAGGTTCGATCGCAGCTTGTCATTCAGGGAACACGTTGACCATGTGATAACAAAAGCACGCAAAGGTCTATCTGCAATGAGGATTATGGCTGCTTCCAATATTGAGCAAAGACTACTAATACTTCTATTCTACGGTCTGGTCCTTTCCCCCATTGAATACGCTCTGGCCATCCTCACTGTCAGTGCTACCCAGATTGAACGACTCGAAAAAGTGCAAAATGAAGCCATGCGCATTATTTTGGGATGTACAAGAGACACATCCTGTGGAGCAATGAGGTATCTACTTGACTTTCCAACAATGAACCAAAGGATCAGGATGTAGAGGGCTCGGGCATATCTCAAAATATGTGCTGATAAGAAACACCCACTGCATCAAGCGCTTTTTAGTGAAAAAAGCGACAGACTGAAGAGGGGGAAATCGTGGCTAGATCGGGCAGAAGATGTTATTTGGCAAATATGCAGCCTAACCGACATCATACCTGGTGCAGAATGGATACCTGTGCCTCAGGCGTTTATTTGTACATTTTCCTGTATTGTCACACTCAACAGGCGACGTAGAGAAGAGAATCCTGTTGCTGTTAATGCAGAGGTCAACGCTTTCATCGGTGAAAATTCAGACGAAGCAGATGCAATAATCTATACAGACGGATCCGTTATACGCCAAAGAAGAAGCGCATGGGCATTTACAGCACGCTCAGCGGGCAGAACAGTCAAAGAAGCCAACGGCTCCTTCTCCATGACAACCAGCAGCATTACGATGGAGGTTATGGCAGTGACGCAAGCGTTTGCCTGGCTTGAAACACAAAAATACACCCGTGTATGTATACTCAGTGATTCAATGAGTATGATCCGGAGGGTTCAGGCAGGTTCAGTGCGAAGACAATGGCTTGAATCATTACAGAAGTCCACTGTGCGTGGAGTCACCTTTATTTTTGTTCCGGGACCCGCGGGCGTCGATGGAAATGAAAGAGCTGACAGGTTGGCTGGATCCGCTATCACTACCGACGGTCAGCCTATGGATCATGCTGATATTATCAATGCCCTCAGAGAAATGGGAAGGATAGAGGACTTTGGTGGCAGTGAATCCACATCACTCGCCAGAATGGCAGACTTGGGAATTAAGATCGGCACAGCAAAAAACTAGACGCACACCAGACACGCCAGAAGACTTGTCAATCAACATAGAACTGGTACTATTAGCCATCGGACGTTGGGGTTCATACTGAGGGGAGGATCTGAGCACCTATGGACATGTCCGAAGTGCAATGAGGATAACCCAACTAACTAACTAACTAATACATACACACACACACACAGTCAACCATACATTCCTACACACAAACACTTACTTATTTATACCCATATATATATATATATATATATATATATATATATATATATATATATATATATATATATATATACACACACACACACACACACTCATACATACATATACACCCGCATGCATACCCATACCACTTTACAAGGTCCAACAATTAAATAATGATATTGTATTATGGCTAAGACAAAAATGTCATCTATGATTCACAGCATGGAATCCAAAAAGGTAACTTTGTCTATGATCTTGTAACTTTCCATCGCCGCCGGATAAGCAGACAACAAACCAACCGCCATTTTCTTGACCTAGTCAGAGGTGCATTGTTACATAATCAGCATAGAGCACACACACACACACACACACACAAAGCTGACATTCAATTCTGTTTAACTCAACAAAAGAAAAGCGGCATTGCAGAGGTTGAACTGATGCAACAAGTTTATGGAGATAATTGTTTATCTAGTGAACAGATTTTAAGCTGGTATTCATTCAAAAGTGGTGTGGAAAAGATTACTAATGCAACTAGACCTGGACACCCAATTTCTGTTCGTAACGAGAAACTCATTTCAAAATTCCGAGAACGGATACAAGACGATCGTTGTTCGATTGTGGGGATGATGGTAATTGAATTTGGTGTTAACACAGAGACTATTCGTAAAATTTTATTGGAAGATTTGGGCAAGAAAAGGAGTTGCTCGCCGGTTTGTATTCAACACCTGGCACTTTGTTTATTCTTCATGACAATGCACAGGCTGAAAGGGCAGTAGTTGTATAGGAATTGTTTGCTCCAAAACAAGTGTGTGTTCTCAACCATCCACCCTATTCACCCGGATAATTTGTCATTTGTGACTATTTACTAATCCCAAAATTGAAGTTGCCATTGAAAGGACACTTCTTTGACGATATTGATGACATCCAAAGGGCCGAAACATCGACTTTAAGGGTCATAACAACAGAAGAATACAGAGGTCGTTCAAGTGTTTGTTAGATAGTGCCACTTGCTGTATCAATACACAAGGGGCTTACTTTGAATAAAATACAGGTTATATCTTCAACTGTTGATTATTTTCAATTTTTATGGAATAAGTCTCATTATTTTATTGTCGGACCTTATATATACACAATCATGCACACACAAACACACTCTTACATACCCATGTACCCATGACAACTACACTCATACATACACACTCAAACAGATACATACATGCATTCATGTTCACACAGCCACACACATGCACCCACACTTATGCAACAACATACACAGACACCTAAATACACACATGATCTCATACATACACACTCAAACAGATACATACATGCATTCATGTTCACACAGCCACACACATGCACCCACACTTATGCAACAACATACACAGACACCTAAATACACACATGATCTCATACATACACACGCATACACATACATGCATCCACGCTCACAAATACACAAAAGTGCACTTACACTCATGCACTCACATGTATACATTCACACAAACACACATTCATACATCCATATACACAACAGTGCCTATATACATACACTCCTGCACAACTGCTCAATACTCCTTCACCTTAAAGAAGTTTCTTTTTTTTTTGGTGTTCTCTTGTGGACTGTTCCCATTGCCTGGAACCCAAGAGTTCACTTCTGCGGGTGGACACGCTACCCGCTGACTCTTCATGGAGTGTTTACAGTCACGTGTCAATGAACAGCCTTACAAAAGAAAGCTTTTCTGCTATCTTACCAAACATCATCGGGTTAATGTAGCGTTTCTTCACAACTAGTAAACTCTCCGGGTCTGTTTACAAAAATGTAAATTTAAAAAAAAAGAAGAAGAAAAGATTGCCACAAAAGATAGGAAGAGAACAAATAGAACATGGTAAAAAAAATATATACCCTATATGTCAGAGTTTACAATAAACCGCTTACAATAAACACAGAGAGCGAGAGAGAGAGAGAGAGAGAGATAGATAGATAGAGAGAGAGAGAGAGAGAGAGAGAGAGAGAGAGAGAGAGAGAGGAAAGACTTATGTGCAAATATAAGGCATGATAAAAGATGCCAATAGTCTTCTGCTTATTCTAAACAAGGCACTCTTTAATCGCCATAATGGCTATTTTCACTCTTCCGTATCAGCCGTCAAACTGTGAGGTGGAAAGGGTCAAATCCTAAAGTACACACATTGCCTTTACCGCCTGCATTCGTCACCTCTAGGAGGTGTATGGTGGGTTGTTTTAGGGTAGCCAAGACATAAGTCCTTGCCAGGCAGCAAACAATATGGAGATCCAAAAACATTTCATGCAAAATTAAGATTCGATTACTCAGAGCACTAGCTATAAGTACATTTACATATGGCTGTGAAACGTGGACCTTAACAGCTGAACTTGAAAGAAAGAAACAGGCATTAGAAATGAGATGTTTCAGAACAATTCTTGGCATATCACACAGAGACCACATTACAAACAAAGAGGTTCGCCATAAAATTATACAGCACATTAGCAACTATGAACCTCTTTTAAATAAACTAAAAAAAGGCGAGAAATGCAATGGTATGGACATGTTATAAGATCTAAAGGCCTCACAAAAACAACACTGCAGGGCTCAGTAGAGGGGAAGAGGAGAAGAGGCAGACCAAGAAAGACCTGGTTACAGAACATAACAGACTGGACAGGCCTCGGGCATGCAACCATAAAGTCCATCACAACTGACCGCCAAAGGTGGAGAACGCTGATCAGACAGTCAACAGAAACTGGTGACCCAACGACACGTAATGTTAAGGGATGATGATGATGATGGTGGTTAGTAGTGAGTCTCTGGATTGAAGGCTGCTAGTGTTATCACCTAGAAAATATTCAGGTTACGAATTCTTTTTCTGCACTTGATAAAATAAAAATCTCCACACTGGTGAAGAATCTTACCCCAAACAGGGGGAAATCCACAGGTCATGGAACAGTCTATTATTTCAAGGGGTGGTAGATAGGCTGCATGCAGTCATGAGACCTAGGCTGTATGCAGTCATGGGACCTAGGCTGCACTCTCTCGTGGGACGTAGGTGGTTTGGGGTAAGGGCCAGTTCCAGATGTTTTTGTGTCGTTAAAAGCGTCAGAAAGCGGGGAAACCCAGTCTTACCATCCTCTAAAATGTTGTACTGTCCTGTGACGTCATCTAGGGGGTAGGATAGTAATAAAGCACCAATTTTTTTTTTCAATTTAGAGAACTGGGATTAACATTTCCATTATGAGAATCAAACAGCTACAAATCCCGAAACCGAGTTCAGCCGCGTTGCACAATTAATTTGGGGCACCACAAGAAGGTTACGAAGTAACCTGTAGTCTAGTGTGGGAGGCTTTGTGTATCTGAAATTACAGAAAAGCCGGACAGATAACACTACAAACGAGGGCAAAACAACCTGTTTCTCGCACGTGCAGCTAACCCTATCCGGGCTGCCGAAATTCTGTTGAGAATAGTACTAAATTATTTTTAAGATACCGAACACACCAAAAGGTATCAAATGTATAAATTAAATTAAAAACCGATAATATGTCTTTAATAAGAACACACATACACACGCATATATATATATATATATATATATATATATATATATATATATATATATATATATATATATATATATATATATATATATATATATATATATATATATACGCACATATTTTAAAACTGGCTTACCTTGTATTTAACCAGAACTTAACTTTTTTGTCCATTACATCACTGCTATACCACTCCCCCACCCCCGCTCAGTTTGTTATAACGCTGTTTTGGCGGCTTCAAGTTGGTATGATTAATGTCCTCGAGCAATAATTTTCATCGATGCTTTTATTGTTCAACTCTTCAAAGAAGAACCATTTTAAAACATCTTATATTGGTAAGCAGAAAAAATATCTCTTTCTATTCCTGCAGGTGAATTAGATATTGCCAAAAGACTTAACATACATTTTAATACTTATGGAAAGCGATTTTTATCTCTATATTTTTCTGTTGACTATGTAAAGCAAAATTGTTTGGTGTTTTTCAGCATTAGATGCTTAAACTATAAGTATCTTTTAAAAAAAAATGTATTTCTTTATAAGGCTAGCTAATTTCATGGCCAGTAGCATAAAAGACGTCTGTCTTTCTTTGGTAAGTCTTACTGGATCTAGCGTACAATGCCAGAATTTAAAATACTGATACAGAATTAATAAAGCGTACCAAAGCATCAGACGTGGTACTACTTTTGCTCGACAAAGGTCAAATAATACTAAATTGGTACAAAAGTACCAACTTCGGCATTCCTGAACCCTATCAGTTGACGGGGTGCAGTGCAGGCTGACTCAGGAAGTAATACCGTGTACCTTGACCTCGGCATGTCGTTCTATGTCATTGGGCCGCCGTATGAACAGAATGGCGGCGATTATAGATGCCGTCAACGCTGTCTTGGCTTCTGGAGACAATAAACATATTTTATCTGTCATTAAAGGCTTTAGGAATGGAGCAGTGTGAGTAATTTTGTGTTAACTATGTAGTATTTGCCTGGATTAAATTTTTTTCTCGGAGTAATGGGTAAATAAAATAATTTTTTTTAGGCGTTAATATTAATTTAATGAAAATGAAATAATGGAAGTGCATTTTTTAATGACAGTGTTTATTGACTTAGTCACTTAGCTCAGAATAGATTTATGAACTATAATTAACTAAACGTGACTACAGTGATTTGAAACTTTGGTAATGTCAACCGTTTAATCCGGTAGTAAAAGAAATGAAGATGTTTACAATAGACTGTCTTGTTGCAAATAGCGGCAGTTTAAGGCATTTCTGTGTGTGGTAACGTCTGCTGGTAGTAGGGCATTTTTATTCTAGCGGTACCGTATGCAGCAGTATTCGTATCCTTTTCATGTTTTCATCCCTTCTGTAATAGTTATGTGTGGTCACTTTTTTTTTTTACTAGACACTATATGGTGAATACCGGCATCTTTTGTGTAGGATAGTATTATTCATTAATACAACCAGGGATATCGGATATCCTCTGAATAACGGCCCCAAATTATCAAGGCCGAAAATATACCCTAACAGGGCCTCAGTCACATGTAAATTACGTACTTCCGGCGACTTAAATTGCGAACTTCCGGCGACTACTGTCACCGCCGAGAGTATCTCCCACGCTGCTACGCTACACGCAGCAGCTACTACATCTCCAGCAGCTTTCTTCATTTGTTCGTGAGTCCCAGCCATCTGGGGGGGGGGGGGGGGATACTCTCGGCGGTGGTAGTAGTCGCCAGAAGTCCGCAATTTACATGTGACTGAGGCCCAGTAAGTGTATATTTTCTGCTATGATAATTTGGGACCGTTATTCGGAGGATAGCAGTTTATTCTATTTGCTATACTTTGCTATTGTTGTACCCTTCGTGTGAGGTACACATTAGGCATATCCCTCATCAAAGTTTGGCTCTATAAATTACTGAAACACGTCTAATTCGCAACGTTACCTATCTAACTTCAGACAAATCAAATAAACAGTACTTTATATTTAAATTTAAGGTTTCTGAAGCCGTAAATCATGTTGGCATGCTTGTAAAATATTGCTTGGAGGCCATATTCTTTTCAGACACTTATTAACTCGACAAATCTCACAAATATACTATATTTTGGGCTTTCAAACAATGTTTCAAAATGAGCACGCCTGATATCAGACACAAAGAACTTGAAAGGAAGTTGAAATTAAACGGTCCGCATTTATAACCAGTCTGTGGTAGATGAAACACTTTACTTGTCCTGCTTCGATTGGGCAGCGCGGTTTAACAAATTAGCGCGTGATGCGTTCCATTGGACTTGAAGAGTTAATAGCTATTTCTCTTTGCCTTCTCCTTTTTGGCTTGTTTCTACTCCTTCTCTCGAGTTTTTGTTTTGTTCACTTTGTCATTCTTTTGACCTCTTTTTCTCCCATTCTCTGCAGCTTTACTTCTTTCCTTTCCCCTTATACCTTCCCTCATGCCTCCCCCTCCCTTTTCAACTTCCCTTTTCCCCACATTTATCCCCCCCCCCCCCCCCCCCACCAGTCATATTCTTCTCATTCTACCCCTGCTTCTCTCCCCCATCACTCCTCCTTCCTTCACTGTCTTTTTTAGACCTAATGAGGCCCTAAGTTGCATAAAGCCATGAGGCCCCTGTTTTCAACGCCACATGATGATATGATGAGTATAATCGTCAGCTAGAATTACTATTCCCATACAGAATAATTCCCTTTTTGTAGATTAACAGCGTACTCAGTTGTGTTGAGGGGTAGACGAAGTGCAAGGGGTTCATAGCGAATGGACGTCACTTAGTGCAGCAAAGCCTGGCATATGATATCACAACGTCTAGTTTGAGAATGGAGGTGGAGGCAGTCACTGCTGCCTTCAACTGGCTTGAGGATCAGCTGTACACACATGGCGTCATTGTAACTGACTCACAGAGCATGCTGAGAAAGGTGGAGACAGGCATGCTCCGTGCAGAGTGGCAAGCATCACTTCAGATGTCTTGGGTAGTTAGTATCCTTTGGATATTTTCTCCAGATCATTCCAGTGTGTTGGGAAATGAGCATGTAGATAGATTGGGCATTTCTGCAACACTTGATGATGAACTGATGTATGACAAGCTGGATATTGTGAGGGCCCTTTGGGAGCGTGTGAACAGTGCCGAGGAACAAATAGATCATTACGGTCTGAGGAGAGGAACACTATCTTTTTTCTGTAGCTCCAGCTTGTCCTCCCAGTAGTCATCTCTGTTTCTAATTCTCTTCTCCATGTACATTTAGGTGTCCTCTTCAATTTTTTTTCCAGAGAAAAGTTTTACTACTTGCATTATGGGAGCCACTGTTGTGTAATGGCTAGACACTCACCTCCGGTTCAGGTTCCGACGAAGCTGGACCTTTTTTTTTTTAAATGACTTTGGCTCCCCGGTCGACCGAGCCTTAAATTGATACCAGATAAAATCCTGGCAAGTGAAGATGGTTGACGTGATGTTGACCCCATTACCCACCTAGTGCAGATTAGTCCATAAAATATAGGTCTAGCCCTGTATGTCCATTACAAATAAAGGAGTGGAAAGGGGTCTTGCCTGCATCATCAGCTTGATGTTGATGAAAGAATCATGCAATGTCTTTTTCTTGCTCTTTGCTTTCATCAGCTATAAACTCTGGCAGAAAGTTGTTGTTGTTTGTCCACTTCTTAATTTTGTTGGTTTTCTTCCAGAACTAGAGTTTTGCATGCATACCCATTCTACAGATCTGGCTTATTTGTATGCAGCTGGTTTCTCCCCTTTCAGGCAGATACACTCCTATTTCGAAGGAAAAAATATTTCTTATTTTTCTGCATTTGTCTGAAGAGGTAAATGCGCTGTGCCGGATTACAACATAGCTGCCATATTTGCACCTTTCAGCTGTCACAACCGACTTCTGCGGGCATTTGTGGTCCTGCTTAGCCTTGCCAGGGAAAAAGTATAATTAGTGCAGGAAAACAGTGTCTAAACTCCCCCCTTTCCCCCAAATAGGGCCCAGGATCCCACACAGGAAAAATGGATCTGCAACACACTCTGGTTGTACAGTCTTTCAGAATGCTGGTCATCCATCCCTTAATGTTCTCTTCTTACTTGTGTCATTGTCGATCTCTTGTCTCAGATTAGTCCTCCAGTATTTTTTTTTTTTAATAGTTTTTTAATGTGGCTGAAATATTTCCCTGTGATCTTGTATGTCTTTCAGCAGCTGTTTTTATCCCCAGTATGGCTATAATTTCTGTATTTTATTTTGTTCTATGTTTACCCTTTAAAAGGCATTTTCCACATTGGGTTGTAGTTTTACAGCTAGGCTGCAATATCTCCACCTTTTGGCCCAAGACATCAGCTCAAATTAGTTGCCTTGTACAACATGTTTGTCAGGGAACAGTTGGTCTGTTCTATTTTCCATTCACAATGGGAGCTTCCATCTACAATGGGAGCTTCCATCAACAATGGGAGCTTCCATCTACAGTGGGAGCTTCCATCCACAGTGGGAGCTTCCATCTAGGATGAGGCTTCCATCTACAATGGGAGCTTCCATCAACAATGGGAGCTTCCATCCACAGTGGGAGCTTCCATCCACAGTGGGAGCTTCCATCTACAATGGGAGCTTCCCTCCACAGTGGGAGCTTCCATCTACAATGGGAGCTTCCATTCACAGTGGGAGCTTCCATCCACAGTGGGAGCTTCCATCCACAGTGGGAGCTTCCATCCACAATGGGAGCTTCCATCCACAGTGGGAGCTTCCATCCACAGTGGGAGCTTCCATCTACAATGGGAGCCCTGTGAACCCACATAGGAAATGTTGTTTCCATGAAATAACAACCCAGTTAGAAGTTGGCTGTCATATCATTTTATAATGTCAAACAAAAATAAAGGACAGTTTGATTCCTTCAGGCGTATTGGGCAAATAGTGTTAGAACTGTATTTTTTAAACCAATCGCACTCAGTGAGTGGGTGATGTGGTCAACATCTTGCCGGCCACCTTTACTTCCCAGAACATTACCTGGTACCCATTAAAGGCTGGGTCGACCTGGGAGCCACTGTCCTTTTTGGAAACAGTTTGATTCCATTCGGATTTGAATGCACAACACCTTCAGATTTGCAGAGTTTCTAACCACTACATCTTGGCTTGGCTGCTACCACTGTATGATGTAAGCTTTAATTGTCGGCTCGCATTCCTGTAGTGATACTAAATATGACTCATTAGTGTGTAGTCTTGCTTGGTGACGGTTGGCTCTTGCGTCAGTTGGCAGCTATAGAAAGGACTATACATTTTTCTGTCAGTGTTTTATTCGGAGCTGCAGTAGCTTCACCGCTAGACCAGCAGTTCTCAATCTACAGGTTGCTACCCTTTTTTTTAGGTCGAATGACCCTTTCACAGGGGTCACCTAAGACTATCAGAAAACACATATTTGTTAAAGTTATGAAGGAAAATAATTGTCTAGGGGTCGCCACAACACGAGGGAACTGTATTAGGATGGTTGAGAGCCACTGCGCTGGAGAGTTTTCTTAAAGGGGTCGTTTTATGTGTGTCACTGATGTATATCTCTTATGTTCAGCTCTGTGTCTGTGTCTGTGAATCATGCTTGCGTGTCTGTGAATTTGATCTGCCACATGGTCTGTCTGTAAATTATATGTATTATATCTGTCAGTATATCTGCCTGTCTCTCTTCCCCCCCCCCCCCCCCCCCCCCCATTTCCCCTACCCCAGTCCTCTCTGGCATATTCCCATATGTGTGTACTTTATTACCCTCTCAAACATTCACTTGTCTCATTAAAAAGTTGATAACCTCACTCAGACATTCACATGTGTGAACTGTATGTTGATAGTCCCACTCGGTCATTCACATGTGTGAACACTGATGACAGTCCCGCCCAACCACTCACATGTGTGAACCATACTTTGACAACCCCACTCAAACATTCACACGTGTGTTGAACACTCTGTTGACAGATATGGAGCCAAGATCAGGTTTCCTCATGCACTGGTGATGACTTTTCTGTTCAGGAATGGCAGGTGAGTGAAGCAGCTTACATTTCTTCATATACCTGGCCAGTTGACGTGGGTGATCATGTCACTCCATAACCTTTCTTTCCTTATATTGTTGAACAAATTATTGAAAACAAGAAACACATTGCTACTGAAAGGAGCATAATTTTGATGTTCAAAATCTGTGTGAATAATGAGGGAAATTGTTCCCATAGTATATAACAATACCTTAGGATCCAACCAATCAGTTAATCTGGTTCATAAATAGTTTTTAGATTTATGGGGTTGCAGCTGAAGATGGGGACGGAGCGCTTCTGGGAGTGTCCTGAGTACTGTGATGTTAGTTCTTAGAGAATATGCAAACAACCATGACCTGAGAACCTGGCCAATTCACAGACAATATTGGCCTTTGAGCTGACCAGAATTGGTACCATTACTATTAAAACTGCACTAACTGCTAAACATGAGAACAAATCAATTATGGGATCTTGTTGCCGCTACATCCTTTGACTTGTATTGTTTTTTATCTGTAAAACTGGCTTGCACTTTGTTTTTTGTTTTTCTGCATAATAAACCTTGTTGGCAGTCTGCCCGGAATTCTTGTCATTTTCTTTAACATCTATTATACAATATTTCTGTGAGTGTGGGCTGAGCCAGTATAGCAAGTACATGGGTGTTTCTCAACTATCCTGACTTCCAAGGCACTTTTAAGAATCAGTTCCTATGGTAGAGCCCCTTAAACATATCGTAACCTACGTCTTACAAGTGAATGGTGTTTAAAAGTAATGTTACAGAGAGAACAAAAATTGTTAGGCAATCTAAAGTAATGTTACAGAACGGTCAGAGAGAGCGTAGATTGTAAAGCAGTCTAAAGTAATGTTACAGAGCAGTCAGAGAGAGCATAGATTGTAAAGCAGTCTAAAGTAATGTTACAAAGCGATCAGAGAGAGTATAGATTGTAAAGCAGTCTAAAGTAAGTTACAGAGCAGTCAGAGAGAGTGTAGATTGTAAAGCAGTCTAAAGTAATGTTACAAAGCAGTCAGAGAGAGTGTAGATTGTAAAGCAGTCTAAAGTAATGTTACAGAGTGGTCAGAGAGCATAGATTGTAAAGCAGTCAAAAGTAATGTTACAGAGCGGCTAGAGAGAGCAAAGATTGTAAAGCAGTCTAAAGTTACGTTACAGAGCGGTTAGAGAGAACAAAGATTGTAAAGCAGTTTAAAGTAATGTTACAGAGCGGTCAGAGAGAGGAAAGATTGTAAAGCAGTCTAAAGTAATGTTACAGAGAGAGCAAAGATTGTAAAGCAGTCTAAAGTAATGTTACAGAGCGGTCAAAGAGAGCAAAGATTGTAAAGCAGTTTAAAGTAATATTACAGAGCGGTTAGAGAGAGAGCAAAGATTGTAAAGCAGTCTAAAGTAATGTTACAGAGAGAGCAAAGATTGTAAAGCAGTCTAAAGTAATGTTACAGAGCGGTCAGAGAGATTGTAAAGCAGTCTAAAATAACAAGATGCCTCAACAGTTGTGCGGTGTCCATGCAGTGAGATTATATTTTTTTAAACTTTGAAATTTACATTTAGAGTATAATTTCTTGTCTCTTTATTTTGATTCTACTATTTTTCTAAATCTTTAATTTCAGTCCCTTTTACTAATTTTCTTATAGCAGCCACACTTTCCCTAAAAAGTGTACGGGAACCCCTTAAGTCTGCCTGAAGCAACCGCTGGATTCAGCAGTTTAAATAACTTGACAGACATTAGTTGATGCCACCTTTACAACTATAATAGCCACTTGTTCATAATAACCAAATTGATGTTTATTATTGTTGTTTATTGTATTGATAACTGATAAGAAGGCAATTCCTTGAAAGAAACATTGCGAGAAGTATTAAAACAGTTTCACACACACTAAGTCTGGGAGCTGCGTGGTCTCAATGCAGTGTGTCCGCCTCGAGTGCTAGAGGTTCCAGGTTCGATACCCGGTAAGGGCTGGGATTTTTGTTTATGTGGACTTGGACTTCTAGTAATTTCCCCTGGTATCTGGGTAGGGAGATCGGACGCCCGTGTGCATTGTTACAGTTGGAAATCAAAAAGAGTAGCCTAACGGTGCTGCCTGGGCAAAATTTGGAGTTGAAAATCTACCCAAAGTATTTCAGGATCCTCGCCAGTGCTACAGAGCCTGTGCACAGCTTCTTCGAACTCAGACTTGACTTAGAAGAAGAACTGAGCACTTATGGGTTACTACCCATGTGCCCTGAATTTGATCCGTTGTTCAAAACCTAAAAAAAAAAAAAAAGTTGTGTGTCTTTTTTTTTTTTAAGGATCACAATTTAGCTCCTCGGGCCTGTCTTGATTCCGTCTTGATTCCATCTAGAAGCATGTTATATTAATACAGCAATACACTTAATATTAAGAGCAAGTAAAACACAAAAGCATGTATGACAAATGTGCACATTTAAGTTTACATAAAACATATATACACATGCATACATACATCATACCTGTGCGCACATAATACATACACACTCATACATACATATAGCCGCTGCTTCTAGAGCACTAACATGGACAGCACAGCAAACAGCCACACTGGCAGTAATTGTTACAGACTCCATGAACATGCTTCAGAAAATAGCAACAAGCTGTATATGCTCTGAATGGGTAGAAAGCATTCAAAAATCGCACTTAACCTCCCTCACCTGGGTCTTCACACCTGGTCATGCTCATGTAAAGGGTAATGAGCAAGGGGACCAACTGGCAAGCAGTGAACAAACACATGTGGGAAGAATCATGGATAGAGCTGATATCATGAACGCTGTACGGGCTGGGCTAGTGGATAATGCCGAATCTCTGACACTGCCACGAATGCATCACATGGGAGTAAAGCATTGTGGCGCACGTCTATGCCGCCTTCAAAGCCGAGATAGGAGACATTATAACCAGCCTCTCGTGGGGACAGTTTGTAGAGGTACCTTGGAGTGGCTGCTGCATCGGAGGACTGAGCAAGCATGAAAATGCCCAATATGCAGTGGTGTCAATTGTGATAACATACATTCATGAACACATGCATGCATACATATACAAAATGTACTGCCCTGTGTCATACCTCACCATCTTTTCCTTTCCAAAACTGGTTGCCCGTTTTACAGTTCAGTGTGTAGTTAAAATTATGCATCCAATTAAAAGATCAGCTAACTCCAGTGTATTTCTGCTTATTTCTATCAAGCTTCTTCCCTTTATAGCAGTTTTATTTCTTTATGATGCTGTAACTGAATGGTTTTATCAACCTGAACACAGCCATTAAAGGGAGAGCATTCTGAATAAATAAAGATTCATGGTAAGCTAAGCTATAGAGTTTGTACTTTGTGTGACTCTAACGGTGGCTATACTTTCAGTGGTCCATGTCTCCGGCCATTTTGTAAAAATAAAACCTAGTGCATTGAAGACATTCCTCTAAACCTCTAGGGGCCCATTAAAGAGTGTCATTAAAGTTGTTACCCTTCACTGAAGCTCTTTCTCCATGGAAGCATGCAGTTGTGAGAGCTGATCATTTGTTGATGATATTCTAAAGTAACCCAAGTGGTAAATCCTTGTTTCTTGATAATCAAGTTTGAACACCGAGTTGCAAATGAAAATTATGCAGTTTCTTAAAATGTAATACTTTATTTTGACCTGTTTGGATGGGGAATTCGCCATTTACTTCATTTTGACCTGTTTGGATGGGGAATTCGCCATATACTTCATTTTGACCTGTTTGGATGGGGAATTCGCCATATACTTCATTTTGACCTGTTTGGATGGGGAATTCACCATGTGTGCCTTTGGCATATTGTAGAGCGACAGACAGCAGCCCTTAAAATGCAGTTAAGGTGAAAATCACCAAAATTGTGTCTATCTGACTTTAGCATAATGCCAACATTTTGTATGTTCTAAGCTGGAGGCTTTGCAAGACTTGCTACATTCTTTGTCAGTTTGATACTTTAGGATAATAACTACACAGAGCTATTTGGGAGCCGCAGCAAGCTCTCAGTTATATTGAGACACATCCAGGACTTCAAAATGTATGTGTAACATCACTAAGACAACATTCGCTGAGAAGAGGAGCAGGGTCCACTGGTCTGCATACAGCATGACCAGTGGTGTCTAGTGAATGACCAGTGGTGTCTAGTGAATGACCAGTGCTGTCTAGTGAATGACCAGTGATGTCTGATGAATGACCAGTGGTGTCTGATGAATGACCAGTGGTGTCTGGTGAATGACCAGTGGTGTCTAGTGAATGACCAGTGGTGTCTGATGAGTGACCAGTGGTGTCTGGTGAGTGACCAGTGGTGTCTAGTGAATGACCAGTGATGTCTGGTGAATGACCAGTGATGTCTGGTGAATGACCAGTGATGTCTGGTGAATGACCAGTGGTGTCTAGTGAATGACCAGTGCTGTCTAGTGAATGACCAGTGATGTCTGGTGAATGACCAGTGATGTCTGGTGAATGACCAGTGATGTCTGGTGAATGACCAGTGGTGTCTGGTGAGTGACCAGTGGTGTCTATTGAGTGGCCAGTGGTGTCTGGTGAATGACCAGTGGTGTCTGGTGAGTGACCAGTGGTGTCTGGTGAATGACCAGTGGTGTCTGGTGAATGACCAGTGGTGTCTGGTGAATGACCAGTGGTGTCTAGTGAATGACCAGTGGTGTCTGGTGAATGACCAGTGGTGTCTGGTAAATGACCAGTGGTGTCTGGTGAATGACCATTGGTGTATGACGAATGGCCATTGGTGTTTGGTGAGTTAAGCTGAGTTGGGTCAAGAATTGACATCACATCACTCGGGACATTCCCATGCATGCTCCATCCTCATCTTCAGCAGTCAGCGCAGTGTTCCAATCTGGTTAAATGTCCGTCTTACCTTTCCTCTGAGTGTAGTCAGCCGGCCAGACCCTCTGGTTACACACAGGTGCGTCATTCTCTCTAGACCATGAATGACCAGTGGTGTATGTTATGATAAATGGCCAGTGGTGTCTGCTGAATGACCAGTGGTGTCTGGTAAGTGACCAGTGGTGTTTGGCGAATGACCACTGATGTCTAGTGAAAATAGTTGTGACAGAAGTCAAGCTACTTCTAAGAAACTAATGCAACAAACTGACTAAAAAGCTTAAAGAAAGGGGGAGGGGAATAGTGCACAAAACATACAAATCCACGCTCCGACCTGAGCCTTTCTTGACATCAACTACACATTAGTGACAAAGGGCGAAGTCTCCAACTACCAGTGCCCACCGGGGGGTCATGGGAATAACTGTACAATACAAGAAGTTATTTTTGTGTATATTTCATGTCAAGAAAGGATGCAGTGGAAATGTTGATTTGTCTGCGCCTATGGCCACACTCAGTAACGTTCTTATTAAGGTTTCCTTTAGATGCCTTTGTTTCCTCATTCAATGTGTTTCCCATTTCAATGCCTGTTTATTGACTCTCAGCCATCTTCTCAATGATGTATCCAATATATCATTGTCTACTTTGTCTTGTTGAGACCATCTGTTGTCCAGACATTTCTTATATTTACATATGAAGCTGCAGTGACACTGGCTTGCATTCATGCCCTATAACATGGTGTTTGTTTGCTCAGTCTCACATTGTGGTGGGTTTAAAAAAACTGAGGGCTCCCAGATTGACCCAGTCCAAAGAATGGATACCAAGCGAATTATGGATGTCTAATATTGTGTTGACCATATCATCATATTACATCCTGGTGTGTGTTCAGGAGTCCCATGGGGGAGAGGGGGGCCCACTGCTTCCCAAACAAGCATGTTGTAAAGGTCAACTAATTAGAGGTGTTTCTTTTAAAGTCAGAGTGCATCTGCCTAAGAGGCAAAGAGCCAACAGTCTGCACACAAATAAGCCAGATGTGCATGCAAACTGTAAGTTCTGGAGCAAGACTAAAGTTCAGAAGTGGAGGAACAACAAAAACAGAATTAACAGCCAATAAAAACGAAGAAATAGATCTGATTACTGGTTTGATTTGTGAGTATGTCACCTGTAGACGACTTCACTACATATGAAGCTCTAATTGGTTGATTATGAAAATACCGAGCCTGCACCATTGTCCAAATCTCAATCCTTGTCTAGGCAGATTTGGATTATTGACTCGCTCCTCCGGGTTGATCCAGCCTACAATGGGTGCCAGAAAATGTCATGGGAGGCAAAGACAGCCAACAGGGTTTTGAACAGATCTCCTGTAGAGTGGCCATAACAATATGGGTCGAGCCATATGTACCATGAAAGGGGTATTTCTTTTGTCCACATTGTTTTATTTGTTATATTTTAAAATGAAAAAAATAAAAAGCTATTTTTCTTAATCTGTTTACTTGGGTCGTTGGTCAAGGTCACACCTTTACGTCAGACTGATCTCTCCACAACTCATAACTGCCCAGTTCATGTATCAGTGGAAATCACCTGTGTCATTAGAAATCACCTGTGTCAGTGGAAATCACCTGTGTCATTATAAATCACCTGTGTCAGTGGAAATCACCTGTGTCATTAGAAATCACCTGTGTCAGTGGAAATCACCTGTGTCATTAGAAATCACCTGTGTCAGTGGAAATCACCTATGTCATTAGAAATCACCTGTGTCAGTGGAAATCACCTGTGTCATTAGAAATCACCTGTGTCAGTGGAAATAAGTAAGATGTGCCAACACTAACAGACCCTGTGAGAAGTGCAGCTGACTAGTGATGCAGACAGTCAATTACAACTGCCTTACTTCTGTGGATTTGTCTGTCTGCTGTAAATGTCATACTGACAATATCCACCTCTTTTCTTTGAACTTTTTTTTGTTTCAGTCTAAGAGATAAAGTTATAGCTATTCTAGAAGCCACCTACATCCATTCCCGGAACCTGGCACTGTTTGTGTTTGCCTACAAGGGATTAACATCCACCCTCAACTGGGGGGAGTCTAAGTCACACCAGCTGCATGCCTTCTTGTCTGCTTTCTGCGCTGGCTTTGTTATCTTTGGCAAATACAACAAGGTCAATGAACAAGTGAGTATACATGAACTGCTGTTTGAACTATGATGAATATGAGCAAATGATTTCATGAACTTTTGTTTGAAGTGTAGAAGTATGAACAAATAAGTATATCAACTGTCTCAACTATGAGAAATATGGAAAAGGGACTGCACGGACTGCTCCTTCAACTATGAAAAGTGCATTTGCAGGCACTTATAGAGGTAAAAGAAAGAAGTTGAGCTGATTCAGTATACGACATCACAGTACTTATGGCATTCCCATAAGCACCTCATTAAGCAACCATTGCAGAGTCTCTCTCCCCCCCCCCCCCTCCCACCCCAGTGGGGTCCGGTAATAATCTTCATGGGGATATCAACAGACAAACAACCAGCAGTGTTGAACTGGAAATATGTAATAGGAGAAAATGTAAGCAGGAACTGGGGGGGGGGGGGGGGGGGGGGGGGGGGGGGGAAGAAATTTTAAAACTTGAATAAATAACAATTACATAAAATGTACAATTAGGGCAAAAGAAAAGTCACAGAGTATCAGAGATCAATTTTTAACCAAAATTCATTGTGGGAACAGAATTTATCTATCACAGATGCATAAATAACTTTGAACGTGGTATTGCGACATGCAGTTTGTTCATAGAGTATCAATCTTCATAGTCAGTTCCAAATGGCTCAGGTAATTTTGCTTCTTTATGTCTTACAGCTATGTCTTACAGCCTTTGACAGAATGTATCATTTCCTCAGCGATGACAGGCTGTCGAACATCTCTCTCTTACTGTCTTCATTGGTTTTTTTTTTTTTGGGGGGGGGGGGGGGGGGATCGCATAAATCTTGTTACTGATTGTTTCCCTAAACACTCAGACTTTGTTTTTCCCAACTAATAAAATATTGTCTGAAACTATGTTATTCCTACAAATACATTTATTTTAATCCCTCAGATTTTCTGACCATCCTGATTTTTTTGTTGTTGAAGCATTGTGAAGTGGGGTTGTTTTCCCAGAAATAACATTTTAACACATTGTCAAGACACCTTTTATAGGTGTGACACAAGTACCATTGTTATGTGTGCTAGGTGTACCCACACTTTCATGAACAGGTAAACGTTGATGACCTTGTTCCAGTTCTTAAATAATGTTTATTTAAGAAATCATGATAATTGCAAAGTTAGTATGGCTTCCACACAACATTATCGACTACTGAGTAGCCACCGATTTTATTCTTATGGTTCACAAGCACACTAATCCCAGGTAGTCACTGGCTAAATACATCAACAGTACTCTGGTATAGCTGATCACAAATCATCCTCGCAATATGAACAGTCATGAGAGGCTAGCGGATGCCTCTATAGCAATAGTTAGTATCATCCTGGCTACCACACTAACTTTATAATCCGGCTACACAACATAAATACTTGTCACAAGTATGAATAACCACTACTGTCCTTTCCACAGTTTTAAATCCAGTCCATTCCAAGCGAAAAACAATTCCCACCTTTTAAAAGGGCACCAAACAAACACATCCGTTCACTGGACTGTCAAACTATTAACTGCCATGTGTCGCTTTAACTGTTTGCCAAGTCCCCTTGTAACCTCCCCACTCAGTTACCTGTATCACCGTGCGGGTCTACATACAACCCGTCTGACCAGTAATTGACCTGTCTGCTGTTATGAGTCAGTCTAGTAGTTGTTTGTCTTTCTCTCACAGTGTATGGTAAAGTTGACTCATGACACACATGTATCATGCTTTTTCCTCAGAAATCAAAATGTTCTCAGACTTTTATTCCCCACGCCTTTCATTTTCTGAACACTCAGTTTTGTTTTTTACCCACAGATAATGTTTTTCCGATGCTCATATTTTTAAATCTTGTTCTTCACAGATAAATCTCTACCTGATGTCCAGAATTATCTATGGTGTCGGCAAGCTTCTAGTGCAAAAGAAGATTATTCCTGAGCCTCAGACGAAAGTATTCCCGTGGTTCGCTGCCTTCATGTGGGCTCTAACCCTCTGGCTGTTTGAATACCACCAGTCATGTCTGCAGCCCTCTCTAGTGTCCTCATTAACATACATATACAAAGACAGTGACAAGTGGACAAGTCTTCGAGATTTCTTAATTTATAATGAATAACTGTGCATACTAGTGTGAATATAACGAATGTTAATGTGCGCAAGCTTGGACAGAGTCTGAAAGATTCCACATGCATTTGATACAAGCAGATATGTGGTGATCCTAGTTTTAGTTTACATTTAGACATACCTTATTTCAATTTAGAAAGAAATATGAGTTAAATGTAATGTCTGATCTCAGTATCTGAACCATTGATATGAGTATAAGTTGACATGTGAAAATGAGTTGCTGTCCTTTATAGGATGTTGCAGTTTCAAATGAGTTGCTGTTCTTTATAGGATGTTGCAGAACCAAATGAGTTGCTGTCCTTTATAGGATGTTGCAAAACCAAATAAGTTGCTGCCCTTTATTGGATGTTGCAGAGCCAAATGAGTTGCTGTCCTTTATAGGATGTTGTAAAACCAAATGAGTTGCTGTCCTTTATAAGATGTTGCAAAACCAAATGAGTTGCTGTCCTTTATAGGATGTTGCAGTTTCAAATGAGTTGCTGTTCTTTATAGGATGTTGCAAAACCAAATGAGTTGCTGTTCTTTATAGGATGTTGCAAAACCAAATGAGTTGCTGTCCTTTATAGGATAATGCAAAACCAAATGAGTTGCTGTCCTTTATAGGATGTTGCAAAACCAAATGAGTTGCTGTCCTTCATAGGTTGTTGCAAAACCAAATGAATTGCTGTTCTTTATAGGATGTTGCAAAACCAAATGAGTTGCTGTCCTTTATAGGAAGTTGCAAAACCAAATGATTTGCTGTCATTTATAGGATGTTGCAAAACCAAATGAGTTGCTGTCCTTCATAGGATGCTGCAGAACCAAATGAGTTGCTGTCCTTTATAGGATGCTGCAGAACCAAATGAGTTGCTGTCCTTTATAGGATGCTGCAGAACCATATTAGTTGCTGTCCTTTATAGGATGTTGCAGAACCATATTAGTTGCTATCCTTTATAGGATGTTGCAGAACCAAATGAGTTGCTGTCCTTTATAGGATGTTGCAGAACCAAATGAGTTGCTGTCCTTTATAGGATGCTGCAGAACCATATTAGTTGCTGTCCTTTATAGGATGTTGCAGAACCATATTAGTTGCTATCCTTTATAGGATGTTGCAGAACCAAATGAGTTGCTGTCCTTTATAGGATGTTGCAGAACCAAATGAGTTGCTGTCCTTTATAGGATGTTGCAGAACCAAATGAGTTGCTGTTCTTTATAGGATGTTGCAAAACCAAATTAGTTGCTGTCCTTTATATGATGTTGCAGAACCAAATGAGTTGCTGTCCTTTATAGGATGTTGCAAAAACAGCTTCAGCATTTTTTTTTGTGTGTGGCTGTGCTTATTGCTAAGATGTGGATCAGTAAATGTCATGGCAAGTAAAAGCAGCTGACAGGATGTTTGCCGTATCAAACAGTGAGTGCTGACTGGTCTATACAAATGTAGGCCTACCACCAATTGCCCGATGCCCGATGTGCCAATGTCTGGGAAAAGTTCTAACTTTTAGGTGACTAAAAAAAAAGTATTTTTAAACAAAGTGCAAACCTACTTGAGGAGCTGAAATAATGAAGTGGCTGGCATGCTCATTGACTGGCCGGAGGTCATGTTTTCAGGTCTCTGTCAAGGCAGACATTTTTATGACTTGACTTAGTCCGGTTTGTCCTGGTCAGCTCAGCTCAGACATTGTACCAGAAGATGTTCTGGGAAGTAAAGGCATCTACCATACAAAATTCATGACATTAACCACTGATTATTGATTGATCTGTAAAATATTCCAGTGTCCCTAGTGCAGTCAGGTTTATATTTTTGTGATCAGACTAGGAAATCTTGGGTTGGGTGTGGCTGATCAGATTAGGAGATCTTGGGTTGGGGGTGGCTGATCAGACTAGAAAATCTTGGGTTGGGGGTGGCTGATCAGACTAGGAAATCTTGGGTTGGGGGTGGCTGATCAGATTAGGAAATCTTGGGTTGGGGGTGGCTGATCAGACTATAAAATCTTGGGTTGGGGGTGGCTGTATTTATATGACTCTTGCAAATCTTGATGTGCTGAATTAGTTCACAAAAATAGGAAAAGAACTATTCAGCTTTTTTAACTGCAAAAAAACTCACACTACTGCCTATATTTACCAGTTTGCAAACTTGGATCCTAGAACAAGGGCAAATGGCAGAAGTGGACGAACAGCCAGGACTTTCCACTGGAGTTTACAGTCAGTGTACGCAAACAAAGAAACAGCCAGTTTTGTGTTGTAGGCAGGAGGGTCTTTGAACCTGAGGCTTTAGGGGCACAGGGCTAGTGCTGGCACCACGGATTATGCTGGTTAGGGCTTTATGTTTACCCCAGGCAGACAAATCCACAACATTACTGAGGGTACGAACCTGGGTCTCCTGCATAAGAGCCCAGCATTCTTAACCATTTGTCCAGCAGCTCATCTCATTTTTTTTTATGAATAAATGTATGGTTAGAGTCACTAACCAGTATGAATAAATGTGCATCATCTACATCGATCTTGGACAATGGCTTTCCAATAATATTTTTTTACTGTGCACAGACAGAGCCTCATTTCGGAAGTCAAGCTTCATGTCCTCATTTGCTAGCTCAAACACTGGTCTTTTCATTTGTCATTATTGTTTACATAATGTTAATGCGTTTAAGAGAGAAATACTGCCGTAATCAAAACTTCACTGAAGTTGACCAAACAAAATGTTGAGCTGTGATAAGACTATGCTCTCTCTGTCTTGTTTCAAGCATAACATAAATGCAATGTTTCATTCAAATAATTACTTTCTTCTCCTCAAGCAGGTATGATCCTTTTATGTGTTTATGTTTTATTTGAACATGTTTCTTTATCAGGTAGATGTTGACTTCTTACTGTGCCTAATGTTATTCCATAGCTTCAGATTGTGCCTGATGTTAGTGAACTCTGAGGTTTGAAACAATGCTACAATGGTGAGACGAACACTGCGCACACACAAGAGCTCAATAAGGGGGAGTACACCATGGGTCAGACCATGAAAAAGGTAGCATACAAACGTACAGGCATGCCTACAAGCATACAGACAAGACTACACACATACAGGCAAGCCTACAAGCATACATGCATGCCTACAAACATACAGGCAAGCCTACAGACATACAGGCAAGCCTACAAGCATACAGCCAAGCCTAAAAACATACAGCCAAGCATACATTCAAGTCTACCATCATACAGCCAAGCCTAAAAACATACAGCCAAGCATACATTCAAGTCTACCATCATACAGCCAAGCCTAAAAACATACAGGCGAGCCTACAAACATACACCCAAGCCTAAAAACATACAGCCAAGCATACAGGCAAGACTACAAACATACACCCAAGCCTAAAAACATACAGTTAAGCCTAAAAACATACAGCCAAGCATACAGGCAAGACTACAAACATACAGGCAGGCATGCAGCCAAGCATACAGGCAAGCATACTGACAAGCTTACAAATATACAGGCAAGCCTACAAGCAAGCATACAGGCATGCCTGCACACATACAGGGAAGCCTACAAACATACAAAGAAGCCTACAAGCAAGCATACAGGCATGCCTGCAAACATACAGGGAAGCCTACAGACATACAGGGAAGCCTACAAACATACAGGGAAGCCTACAGACATACAGGGAAGCCTACAAACATACAGGGAAGCCTGCAAACATACAGGGAAGCCTGCAAACATACAGGGAAGCCTACAAACATACAGGGAAGCCTACAAACATACAGGGAAGCCTACAAACATACAGGGAAGCCTACAAACATACAGGGAAACCTACAATCATTCAGGCATGCCTACAAACATACAGGGAAGCCTACAAACACTTGTAGTCACCGACTGAAAAGAGAAGGCCAGTCACAGAGATGAGTGGAGGCGGATGATATCTGCAGCAATGAACCTTGAGGGTTTTGAATGTTAAGAAGTAGTTAGAGTAGTGGCTTAGTTCATTGTATAGCTCACTAGCCAACTGGCATAGCACCGACCGTAGATTTCCCTGTATATTTGTTTTGACTTCATCTGTTGAGTTTTCTTCATATTGAAAAAGAGAATCTGTTGTAAGTTTGTGTCGCGTGAAATACAAGAATCCCTTGAATTTATTTCATATGTAGTAGAAGAACCTGTTGAGTTTATTTAACATGAAACAGAAGAATTGACTGAGTTTATTTCACATGAAAGAAGAAGCTATTAAGAATTTATTTCACACGAAATAGGAGAATTTGTTGGAAGGTTATTTCGCATGAAATAGGAGAATCCTTTAAATTTATTTCACATATAGTAGAAGAACCTGTTCACACATGAAACAGAAGAACCTGTTCACACATGAAACAGAAGAACCTGTTCACACATGAAACAGAAGAACCTGTTCACACATAAAACAGAAGAACCTGTTCACACATGAAACAGAAGAACCTGTTCACACATGAAACAGAAGAACCTGTTCACACATAAAACAGAAGAACCTGTTCACACATGAAACAGAAGAACCTGTTCACACACGAAACAGAAGAACCTGTTCACACATGAAACAGAAGAACCTGTTGAGTTTATATTTCACATATAGTAGAAGAACCTGTTCACACATGAAACAGAAGAACCTGTTGAGTTTATATTTCACATATAGTAGAAGAACCTGCTCACACATGAAACAGAAGAACCTGTTGAGTTTATATTTCACATATAGTAGAAGAACCTGTTCACACATGAAACAGAAGAACCTGTTGTTTATATTTCACATCAAATACATGAATCTATGGAGAAGTTGATTTTGCATGAAATAGAAAAATCCTTTGAATTTATTTCACATTTAGAAGAAGAACCTATCAATTTTATTTTGCATCAGATACAAGAAAGAATGTATTGAGAAGTTGATTTCACAACAGATACAAGAATGTATTGAGAAGTTGATTTCACAACAGATACAAGAATGTATTGAGTAGTTGATTTCACAACAGATACAAGAATGTATTGAGAAGTTGATTTCACATCAGATACAAGAA